GCATAATGAACGATTTTGTCCGTTTGAAATTATTGTTATATTCAACAAGAATCTCCCAGAAAATATCAAGCCATGCCGTTTAATAATCTGATGGATAGTCAGCACAAGCCTGCAAATTGATTAGTTATATTAATAGATAATCTCTTTTACCCAAATATTTAATGATAGAAACTTTTACTAATCATAATTACTTATAGGCTATTATTATTTCCGCTATAAAAATATAAATTCTCGAACTTTTTTCAATATCGGTTATTTTCTATTTTGAAATTGCATCATTAATTATTTGTAAATAAATGATAATTATATTTAAACTATCGTAGGTACAATATCATTTTGGAATTGATGCTAATGACGACCTTCATATTTTGGTTTAAATCGTGGATTGATATACATCACATGGGAGCTAAAGATGTCCCTAGACAATTTTGGTCACCATATGACTCCACTCTCATACACGAAGCTTTACTAAGTTTTTCCGGAGTTCTAGCTATTGGAAAAATGCTATATTATTTTCAACAAAGTTTTCATTTGGGACCCATTCAGGTAATAATACGAAACGTATTAATTTCTAAGTACAGTCCAATCTCGATAATCCGAAACATACGGAGCTGAATAAGGAGATTGCCGGATTATTGAAAGTAAGATGAATCAATAGCACATAAATAAATTTGATAGTGCGGAGTAAACTGTTAATTAATAATAGCAAAATACGTGTTGAATTTATGATGAAAATATTCTGTCTTTGCCCATAAATTGTTTTACCAAGTTGGTGAATTCCACTAAACCTAGTGGAAGTAGTGATAGGTGTTTTTGAAAATTTTGAGGGATTGATTTTATATTTATATAGAACTTACTATGTTATAAGATACTATAACTTTTTTAAAGAGCTTAATAATTTTTAATATCGTGCCCAAGCTTGAGTGTTCGAGCTCAGGTTCAATATCATGCAACCTTAAGTGGGAAATGGAGTTTGAACGGGTGGATTGTCTAAGACTTGGCAATAGTGCAGGCAATATCCCAGTCGACTAGCGTTGAATATCTAGAAGTGTCGAGATTGTACTGTAATTGCTCGGTAAATAAACTTGGATCAAGAAAGATTATTTCTTTGTGGAATGCGTATTTATTTAAGTAAATAACGTAGATAAAAATGTCATAATTAAATTTCCTAGGTCTCTTTAACACGAATGCTGGTAAATATCGCATGGTTCTTGGCCGGAGTTTTCATTCTGCTGAGCACCATTGCCATTTGCATGACAAGTTTATATTCACACTATAAAGGAATGGAACGAAAAGAAAACGGCGGGGAGATAATTCTTCAAGATGCTGCTTTCACTTCGTAAGTAAATTTACCTTACTAATTTAAATAAAATAAGCAAGGATAGACTACTAAATTTTGAAAATTCTATAGTTTATCTTCTTCGATGAAGACTTTATTCTGGGCTCTGTTTGGATTAATCGATCTCGATTCTGCAGATGTAATAGTTGGGATAGAAACCGAAACATCACCCGAAGTAATCATTCACCACAGTTTTACCCAGGCTATCGGGACTTTATTATTTGGCAGTTATCATGTGCTAATGATTATAATTTTTATTAACATATTGATTGCTGTTCTAACAAATACTTTCCAAAAAGTCGTGGTAAGAACTTTCATCTTTCATATTAAGGGTCTATTTGATTGGTTGGGATAGTGTACATTTCGACTTCGATTTGACGTCATTACTTCAGTTTTACAATGAATAATTCTAAAGAATGACGTCAAATTTAGGTAAAAATATGCATTATCCCAACCAATCGAACAAACATTAAATTAGTATCAGATGGCCATTACCAGACCTTCATAATTTATCAAGAAATCGGGACAACATCCACTGATTTCTGACCTATGCCAGTTGAGCCCATTACGGAACGGATTGTTCATAATGAGCATAATCATGGCTGGCCATGTCCTCTTTGATGTGCTTGTGTTAATTCATACAAGCTATATTTTAATTTCATATAAATTACATAAGCTTTGTTTTTCGTGTCGGCATTATCCTAAATTATTATTTTAATGATTCAGGATAATGCCGACATGGAATGGAAATATATCAGAACCAGACAATGTGCTACATATTTTTATGTAGACGAAGCCGTACCCAGTCCTTTCAATTTAATGCTAAATTGGTATGAAATATGTTCTAAGGTAAATTCTGTAATAGAAGCAACAAAAGTCTGCAATATAACAAGACTATTTACACCACCCAAACGAGAATACTTCTCTTGGCTGGTATGTAAATTATTTTAGTCATTTAAATAATTGGATCATCAGGATTTTTTGCAATAAAATTTACTCATAATGAATTTCAGAAACGTTGTTACAAGATAAAAGAAGCAGAAATTGATGACGAGGAAGCAAACAAAGTGAGTTTTATTTGTAAATGCAATATATATTTTAAAAGCTGAAATTTGATCATTGTAGGTAAATAATTCCTTTTTCTTCCCTACGAAATAGGAACTGATGAGAAAAATTATGCAAAAGTACCTACGAACAAAAGCCAATATTAATCACGATTTACACAATATTAACTCTAATAAAATGATATAAATTTTTAAAATGTATTTTAATTCGAAAATAAAATTATCCTTTGATGAATCAATTTCAGTACAGTACAGTTTGTTTAGTACATGATGACCTCATTTTATAAGAAGATTCACATTAAGGAACATTTCAAAATCAATAGCAAAAATTCAAGAACATGACAAACAATGAAAAATCCTGTAATATAATTCTGGAAGAATTATATTAAAGGATTTTAAATATTAAGAGATGATATTATTATTACGAGTTAAGCCGCAGTTCAAGCAACTTAGAAGCCTACGTATTCCTCAACTGCACTCTCCAAAACCAAGCCTAATTTAACGTGATTAAACACTTTCCCTTTTGTTTTCCTTACACATACCGGGGTGGGAGGTAGAAAATCTGTCTTGCTTTCGTTTTATTTTGTGTTGATCTCAGCTTTCACTTAAAACGCATTCTTTTCGCGCATACTTTTGTACCAAATAGGCCTTTGGGTAAAACTATCTTCCTACGTAAAACTACCTTGAAAGAATAGTCCTATAAATTTTCACTTTCATCCATCTGTCTTTCCTTAATCTCGAGAACAGAGTTAGATAGATCGTACTTGTATCATAGAGATCATATGTTGAAAGAATGGTGCAGGAGGCCCAGATTAGCTGTATACGAACTTCAGATGCAAACCGAAAGTCGTCTGATTTCAATTCAAAAATTTTTCCCAGAACGGAGTTACATAAATGGNATTACGATTTCACAATTCTCTTAAATTTTAAAAGTTCCATATTACAACTCTATGCTGGGCTATTCGACAATTTATTTTTAATCTATATTCTATTTACAAATTCTAAATACAATAGCCAATATTGATACATTAATTTAATTATGTAATTATTAAAAGTAAATCGAAAAAATTTCTTATTAGAAATTTCTAAGCAAGATAAATGAATGTTAAGATTAAAAGAAAACATCATTATAATAATTTAACTACAAAAATTAGACATTCATAAGAGCAAAGAATTATATGCTATTAATACAAAGCAAAGAATTATAAAATCCATTAACGTATAGTTAAAAAATGTCAAAAAAATTTTTAATAGGTAATCAAAATCATGTAATGTTCAATAAGCATCTAATTCGGTACTCATTGATATTCATTACACATCACCAAAACGAATAACGAATATTGAGAATAGCCACCAGTGGCCAAGCTGTCTTCATACTCTGAACACTGGGCATTCGGTCGTGGGTTCACGCCTCGCTCGGGCTAGTTCGAGTTTTCCGGGTTTTCTCCACGTCTGTAACGCCCTAAGCCAGTTTCCCTTAAAAAGACTTCGAGGAAGGCATCCCCTAGGCAGATCGCCCAAGTGTTCCGTTGCCATAAATTAACAAACAATATTGAGTAACGAGTATCGAAGTTTAAACGAAGTAATAGTGTTGCGCATCACGTTTTGTTTAATGGAAACAGTCCATTTCCATTAAACTCTTTTTCAACTCTCCGTCTTATAAAACCTTTTTTTCAAGTCCATTTTGGATTCGGCCAACCCCGCAAGGGGCGGCCAGGTGGTGACNCGAAGAATTATTGTTTTTTTACAAGAACTAATAGGAGAATATGTACAATTTAGCCTAAAATCAGGTCCATACGCAGGATTTTTTACAAAATACTGGAAATGGCAAAAATAAACAGTTTATTTATTATAATTCTAAAATAGATAATTGACGCAAAACAAAGATATAAAAACTTGTTTTTATTATTTTTAGGTATTTCTGTCGTGAGACGAGATGAGGCCAAAATCATGTGACAGCTGCAGCCAATTATCGTGATTATTAAATCGGTGATATTATATTGGCTTGTTAATAAAATTGCTTTATTCAAAGATTGATTCTACAGTCAAATATTAAAAACAGGCAAAACCGAAAACAGCCCGAAAATCGGGGATGTCTAGTNTCTCCGTCTTATAAAACCTTTTTTTCAAGTCCATTTTGGATTCGGCCAACCCCGCAAGGGGCGGCCAGGTGGTGACGAACAGGATCCGACATATCCAGACTGACCGCTCCTCGAAAAATTTCTGGCGTTTTGGACCCTTTGGCATTCGATTCCGGGTCCCCAGAGCTGAAGGCTGCCATCTTAACCTCTCGGCCATCCGGGCCTGCCTTTCAGCAGTAAGGACTCGGATTCGAATCCGGATTCGCTTAGACATTTTTATTAAGCTGTAAATAAAAATCCAAAAAAGTCAATTTCACAAAGTTAAAAGTATATTAACTTCTTATGATTTCCATATATGTAGGCTAATTTTTCAATTAATAAATATTTTTTGTATTTATTCTATAACAGTAAATAACTTATAATTGTTAACGTTGTAAATAAAAGTTACTTTACTATTGTCGACAAGTATTGTTTATTAATATTTCAGCGAGTTTTTCAAAAAGAATTCAGTAAAAAATGAACTCAGATTCGATAATTATAGATATTCCGGATGTTCCTCACCAAATAGTGTCCTTACCAGAATTGGATATGACAGAAAGAAAATTTTTTCAATTTGTCAAGAATGGAGACGTAAAGGAATTAAGAACTTTCTTATCGGTAATAGCGCTTTGAATGAGAAGTCTTTTGCGTATCTTTTACAAATTTTATTTAAAACAGAATGAGATAAGATAGAACAACTAACTCATTAATTTATTCATATTTTAGAATAATGAACTCAATATAAATTGCGTTAATTATCAAGGTCTTTCTGCGCTTCATATCGCAGTCGAAAATGAAAACGTCGAAATGATTCAGTTCTTACTTACCATACCCGACATAGACATAAAGGATTGTGTTCTTCACGCCGTATGCACAGGAAATATAAAAATTATAGAGATGATATTGGATTCTCTTAAGTAAGTACAAAATGATTAATTAATGAGATGATTTTCAATTTCCTAAAGATTTACTAATTTCTTTCTTCAGAGAGAGAAATTTGGAATTTCAGAGTTGTTGTAAGAGCATAGAATTCGATTACGGCATGACACCTCTTATACTGGCTGCTCAAAGAGGTTCTATTGAAATAATTCGACTTCTGTTAAAAAGGAATCACCGTATACCCGAACCGCATTTGCCTACATGTAAATATTAATATATTTATTGAGCTGCAATTTAATAAACTGTAGTCCTATAAATTCCCACTGTCGTGCGATTGTCTGTTCGTCTGTCTTTCCTTATTCTCGAGAACGGAGTTAAATATAGACTTACACAATTCAATCTCTACTTACTCAAATTAATTGGCTAAATTTTTATATAAACGAGCTTAAAATTATTAGTGCACTTAAAACTAACAAATTTAAGAATTAGCTTATTTTTTAAACAGGCAAATGCAGAGAATGCAGAAGATTTCTCAAGCGTATGGGTGCAGATCCAACTTCACAAAGATTAAATATATACAGAGCTATATGCAACCCATATTTTATCTGTTTGACAGCAAGAGATCCTATACTGACAGCTTTTATTCTGGATAAACAATTAAGAGAATGCGCCAGACTAGAAAAGGAATTTAAGGTTTGTTTCCAGAATTCAAATTTTATCTTTGAGTGAAAATTTAATTAACTAATTAACAATTTCAGATGGAATATAATGCCTTGTCGGAATGTGTTCGAAATTTTTCAGTCGATCTGTTATCGCAATGTCCAAACGCTAATGAAGTAGAACGGATTCTAAAAATTAAAAAAGGTTTCAGCGGTTTGAATGTAAAATATCCGAGATTACAAACTGCACTCGATTACTCCCAAGAAGAAGTAAGTCTTCTAGCAATTAAAATAAAATCTGCCCTATAAATTTAGATTTTATAAATTTTGAATTTCCTGTAGTTTGTGGCTCATCCACATATTCAAAAAATAGTAAGTGCGGAATGGAATGGTCCTTGCATAACTTGGGTGAAATATTCATTATTTCGAAAAGCAGTTCATATGCTGCTTAGAATATTGATTCTACCTATTGTTTGCATCGTCATTATGATTGCACCAAATACTTATTGGGGTAAACGATGGCACTGTCCCCTAAATAGATTTATGAATGAATTTGCAACGTATATAATATTCTTCGTTTTACTCTTTACCATGATCGGTATTGATACGAACACTTCTGAAAGAGGTCCTCCGAATACAGGTTATTTCCTATTTATTCCAAATTCTTTTTATTATGAATTTGAATTTTTAACAAAGGATTTAAACTTTTTTTTTATTACTGTATTTCAGGACTAGAGATTCCAATCGTACTTTGGGTTGCCGGATTCGTTTGGGCATCCATCAGGCGTCTCATGTTGCTTGGATTTAAACGATTCTTTCAGAATCCATGGAATTGGTATCACCTCCTTTATTCATTATAATTAATTTAAAATAATTATAGCTTAATTTCAATTTGACATAGAAGGATCGGAAAAAAATCCGGAAAATTAGGACGAATCAAATCAGTCAATTTACATAAAATTTTAAACTGTTGATTATTTCAATAATATCCTTTTGAAATTGTTTTCATATTCGAAACAATGCATATGAACTTTCTAAACTACAGTAGATCCCCCTATAAGACGGTAGATACGTTCCGTTCTTTATGAATCAATTTTGTAGGAATCATAGTTTACAAACTACGGCTGTTTGAAAGGTTTTCTTTCATAAAATTAATCGATTCTAGACTAATTCGACTCAACATTTCCAAAATACGTATATTTTTTTGAAAATAATCCGTATAAACTACGTTATAAACAAAAAATTGTAGGATT